TCAAGCAAAATGGCTGAAATTGCCCTCACCTTCCTTGGCCCTGTTCTAGAGGAAGCACTTTCCAGGTTGACTTCATTTGTTGCTAGTTGGCTCCAGAAAGCAGGAGGTTTCGAGGGTGAGGTGATGAGACTTAAACATTTACTTGAGTTCATCCAGTCTGTGGTCGAAGATGCCGAGGCAAAACAAGAAAGTAATGGGTCTGTAAGGCGTTGGTTAGAAGACCTCAAAGATTTAGCTTATGATGCGGTGGATGTACTTGAGGAGTATGATTATGATCATCATGATCATCACAAAGTTCAAACTCGAGGCATAAAGCAGAAAATGATGGCACTCACCTCTTTTACCTTCGGTTCTCGTATTGGTGACAAAATTAAGGACATTAGTGTGCGCTTTGATAAATTGAAAGAGCGTGCAGGTCCACTTAATCTAGCATCAAGATACCAGTGCCATCCAACTGCTGGGCAATATCCCAAGACAGACTCCTTTCTTGATAATTCAAAAGTTTTTGGAAGGGATGGTGATGCCTTGGGAATTCTTAGCTTGTTGGACAACTTAAAGAGGGACCATCCCATCTCCGGTGTTTCTATAGTTGGCATGGCGGGCCTCGGGAAGACAACAATGGCGAGATCAATATACAAGAGGGCAAAGGAAGAAAAACTCTATGATCTTGTAGCGTGGGTGTGTGTCTCTGAGGACTTCAATGGCCAAGCAATCTTGGGGGAGATGTTGGAACACTTTAAGGATGGTGGTGCTTCAAGGAACAATATCAATGTACTGCTTCATGATCTTGCCAAAGTGCTAGACAACAAAACGTTTCTTCTAATTCTTGATGATGTGTGGAATGAAGATCAGTCCCAGTGGGATGATTTCAGCTCTCGTCTCTCCAAAATTTTGAAGATAACTGGGAATTCTATTGTTGTAACAACTCGTAGTTTACAAGTAGCATCTGTTATGGAGAGACTTCCTATGCAAAACTATGAAATGCAGAAGTTATCAGATGGGGAATGTTGGTCGATAATTGAGGAGAGAGTTCTCAGATCATCTATAGAATCTTCAATTTCTTTGGAATTGAAAGCTATTGGACAAGAAATTGCCAAACAGTGTGAGGGCTTGCCGCTAGTTGCAGCTGTCATCGGAGGAACATTGGGCTTTCAAATTGATATAGATAAGTGGTTGGCTATCAGAAATAATAATGCATGGAATTTAGATCCCCATGAGAGAAATAAGATTTTATCTGTGCTAAAAATAAGTTTTGATCGTTTGCCTTCACATTTGAAACGATGTTTTTCGTATTGTTCAATATTTCCAAAGGATTTTGTCATTGAAAAAGATGATTTAGTTCAACTTTGGATGGCCCAGGGATTTCTACACCAACCTAACGAGAGCTCAATGACAATGGAGGATGTTGGTAATGAGTGCTTTCATGATTTATTATCTAACTCCTTATTTCAAGATGTGGAAAAAGATGAATATGAGAATATCATATCTTGCAAGATGCACGATGTGGTGCATGATTTGGCATTGTCCGTTTCAAAAGGTGATACTTTTGTGTGGGAGACCAGTTGCAAAATTGACCAAAATGCTAAAATTCGACATTTGAGAGTTAAGCATCACAGAAACGAGTGTCTAATCATTCCAAGAGGAGTTGCTCAAAGGTTGCATTCTTTGTTCTTGGAAGAGGTTGATGTTTTCAATTCTAATGCTTCTGATCTCAAAAGCCTGCGTGCTTTAAAAATAGTTGGAGCTAAGGGGGAACAGTTGCCAGATGCTTTTAGCGGCCAGAAGCATTTGAGATACCTTGATGTTTCAGAAACTAATATCAAAGCACTGCCAAAATCTTTCACCAAATTGTATAGTTTGCAAACCTTAAAACTTATTGGTTGTGATGATCTTCAAAAGCTTCCTGATGAATGGAGAAATCTAATCAGCTTAAAACATTTTTATATTGATGGTTATAAGGGAGAGAAATTTCCATCATGGTCGTATAGGGGTGTCAGTTTTTCTGGTAATTCATCTCTGCTCAACAATCTGTTGGAATTGAAATTTTATAATTGTAGTAAATGCACAAATATTCCCAACTGTTTGGGATTATTGCCTAGTCTTCGGGTTCTGATAATAGATGGTATGAAAAAGGTGAAATGTATGGGCAGTAGGTTCTATCTTAACAAGGGCAACACAACGAGTAGTAGTCATGGTGGGGGAGAATTAATCACACTTTTCCCGGCATTGAAATTACTCTATATATTCAACATGGACAGCCTAGAGGAATGGGCAGAAATGGAAGATATGGTTGTGTTTCCTTGCCTTGAGATATTGCAAATTAGCAGTTGTCATAGCTTGAAAACTTGGACAATGGGTGGATTTTCATCTCAGCACAAGCTCTGTGATCTGCAGATATCCTACTGTGAGAAATTGATGGCTATCCCAAACATAGATGGGCTGCTCTCTTTTAAAACATTATCTATTGATCGTTGTCAAAAGTTAATTTGTCTACCAAGTGGGTTGGGAACTTGCATCTCTCTCCAGAGTTTGTCCATTTGGTACTGTTCCAATCTAATTTCTATTGTGGAAGATATTGGAAGATTGCATTCGCTTACTGATTTGGCTGTTTGTGATTGCGAAAAGCTGGTGAGCTTTCCGGCTGAGTGCCTTGGACACCTCAGCCACTTGAAAATGTTGGAGATGGGTCCCTTCTATTCGGAGTTGGAAGAATTCCCAGGACTTACTTCCATTCATCACCTCCACGCCTCTCTTGAAACACTGGAATTGTATGGATGGGATAAGCTAAAGTCTTTACCACATCAGTTGCAACATCTCACTGCCCTCAAGAAATTGGAGTTACGGACCTTCCATGGCCTGGAAGCTTTACCAGAGGGGTTGGGTAACCTCTCTTCTCTCTCTACTTTAAGTATTGAATATTGCAACAAATTGAAGAGCATTCCAGAAAATATTGGGGAATTGCGTTCTCTCACTGTTCTTAAAATCCTTAATTGCGAAGAATTGAGAAGCTTTCCAGAGGAGTGCCTTGGTCGCCTCACCCACTTGAAGGAGTTATATGTGGGTCCTTTCTGGTCAGAGTTGGAGGAATTTCCTGGATTCGCCTCCGTCAGTCACCTCCACACTTCCCTTGAAATTTTAGATATAAGGGGATGGGATAAACTAAAGTCCCTTCCACATCAACTTCAATATCTCACTACCCTCAGAGAATTGTGGTTACTCTCCTTTGAGAGCCTGGAGGCTTTGCCAGAATGGTTCCAAAACCTCTCTTCTCTTCAATATTTGGAAACTTGGGATTGCCCTAACTTAATGCATTTCCCTTCTGTTGAAGTCATGCGCAGCCTCTCCAACTTACAATCTCTATATATTTTGAAATGTCCCAAACTGAAGGAAAGATGTGCCAAAGAGAGCGGCCCCGAATGGTCCAAGATTTCTCAGCTCCCCGAGATCCACATGTGTTAAATACCGATTTTTTGTTGAAGGAAAACGGGATATGTCAGCATGCAGAGTTGGAATCGCAACCTGTGGTGCTCGGAATTCATCAAAATCTTGCAAGTCCTCTTATAACCGTATTCCTTATCTTCTCTCTTTCCACAAATCAAATAATCTCATTTTGTAATTTTTTTTTTTTTTTTGATATTTCTTCCATTTTAGAGGTCCGTTTTTTCCCTGCAGTTCTGCTTTTACATCTCAAGGAATTTTTTTTTTAATTAATTGATCTTCTTATTTATTTCAATTTTTTTCTTCCTTTTTTTTGTTTGTTATTGTTCAGTAAATGTTGTAGCAAGTACCTTCTCCTGCCTTTGGTTTTCTTCCATTAGGTACCCTATTAAAGCCTCATTTTGGTTTTCTTTTCGGTACTAAACTAATTTACATTTGTACTACAATAGGTGCTTTCCTATTTTAATAATTATTCTACACCGAAGCACTTGTCTTGTATACACAAAAGATGCATGTGGGAGGATATAATAGAAGATTGGATAAATTCACGCAGTGCAAGTCTTGCAAGGTAACCAAAGGCTTTTATTTTTCAGTTATGTGTAGTGATAATTTGGCTTTTGAATTTCCAGATATGATTTATTTCTTCTCTAATTGATTTCCTTACTCAGGTCAATGGCAAAGAACTCTATTGCTATGAACTCGAACTTTATTGAACCTGAGGCTGATTTTTTCATGTGAAGGGAAACTCAAGAAGAGATGCGATTCTCTTTCTGCGTATTGCATCCATATAATTAGTAAGTATGCAATGAATCAATTCCTATTGCTGCTTCATCCTGAAAGATTTGTTGAAAGGTTTTGGGTTACTAACAGAGTAGCTTCTTGCCTTGCAGGCCTTGTTCTCTGGAATGTTTTCTCTTGTTCTGCACTTGTTGCAAGCAAAAACAACTGAACTCCCTCAAATCCTTTTATTTAATTGGAAAAGGACTCTGAGATATTGGCACAATCCAGGGGAACCACACTGCTAATTCCAAACCAGGGGTACTGGTAATGTCATGTAGTTCAAATTGCAAAGATTTTCTGAGACGGACCATCAATCACACCAATGGTCGAATGAGAAAAGGTCAATGTATCAAGTGGGATCGAACTTTTTTCACAAAGGAGAGGCTTAACAAGTTGAGTTCTGCATTGAATTTGATTTTGAAAGCTGAAGTTGACTCTGATAAAGGGAAAGTCATTTGGTTTGCTTAGTGGATCCACTTTGGCATCAGCTTCAACAAACAGAAAGTTTCAGGATATTCAAGGATTTTCTCACTAGGTTAGTGACTCTAATGGGGGTATAAATACCAGCTAAAAAGACCTCTAGAGTTTAAGGTACCACAAATTCTTAGTGAGTGGCGAGGTTGGATTTAATTAGGAACTCCTATGGGGGTGAGAAGAGTGATTAAACACATATACCATGGAGAGTGAATTTGACTCTCCTTCACCTGTGTATATAGTAGGTGCACCGGAAGCACGTAAATCTCATGTGTTTATTTCCTTATTTTCACCCTTTTCATGGTTATACTGCAAATGTGTGTGTTCTTATTCCATGTGAGCCAAGTTAATCGACATGAATTACAATCTGTAAAGAAAGTGAGGAAGCAACATTTAATAAAGCACAACATTTAATAAAGCACAAACAGTGTTAACCGAATAAAGCGAAACCCAGAGCCTGGCGCCCGGTAGTGCTGTTGAAAATTGCCACTCCGAATCCCGCTTGTCAGTTCCTACCACCATCACGTGTTATTTTCTTAATTTTTTTCCAACTTGAGAAAATTTCTGGATGAGAATTTCAGGTGTGGATTCGCTTTTTATTCCAAATGTACACAATACCTTTTTATAGTGGGAATTTTGCGAGAAAAATTAATTTTTTATCATCTCATCTTTATGTCTATAATTTAAATTTAAAATTTTACTATTATTAGATAGTGGGCATGTACATAAAAAGTTTAATAATAATATGTTTGGATAAGTTTTCTTAGGATTTATTTAGTTATGGGTTAATCTTATTTGAAAGTTTATTAAGTAGTTAAAAATTGATAAATTTTGTAACATAAAATTTTATCAGTTAGGTTTGTTAACTTTTTATTATATTTAGTAAAAGATTGATATAAAAGTGTTAATATTAAAATTGTCAAAAAGTTAAAGAAAAACGTTTTTTTATAAAAAATATATATATAAAAAAAATTTTTATCGGTTGAAAATTATATTAAAAAAAGTTAAAAATATCACTTTTTTTTTTGAGTTATACAATAAAAAGAAATTCTCTTTTATCTCCTAGCATATTCACTTGCATATTATATGAGTCAAATTTAATATTTTTTTTAATTAAAAAAATTATTGTTAAACTATTTAAATAATTAATTTAAAAATGTCACTCTTATTTTTTTATTATAATATAAAAATGTAAAAATATATAAATAATATTATAAAGAAAAAGTTTAGGGAGAAAATTTTCTAGAAAAAGTTTAGGGAGAAAATTTTCTTTTAAGCAAACACAATCCTAATGACTTATAGCAAACACAATCCTAATGACTTATAACAAACATATTACTTTAAAGATAAAAGACAACCATGAGAAAAATAGGAAATAAGTATTAAAAGAAAATTCTTTAATTATCATTTATTTTTTAGAAAAGTAAAAATTAATAACTTCTAACATTCAAAATTGTTTGTATATTTAATCCCAATTATATTTTAAGTAAAATTTATATTATATTTTATTTATCATATAATTTATTTTTTTTTTTGAACAATGTGAAACTTTTTCGAAAAAAGGAAAAGGGGGACCTGAGATTTAATCCCAAGTTCACTAGTTCTACGCACGTTCCGCAAGGGGTGATCAGTAAGCCATCAAGTGTGAGACATTTATCATATAATTTTAATTAAACATCTTAAATCTTTTGGTATTGTTTTATTTATTATATAAATATATAAAGTTAAACTATAAATGGTGAAAATTACCGATCATCAATTATGGTTGAAATAATGGAAAAGTTTTTCTTCTAATGGCATTCACTGTCATTATAAAGATGGGAAAGAAAATTTGGATCACAATCAATACTAGAAAAATTGATACTATATTATAAAATAAAAATTAAAAAAATTAAAAGAAAACTAAAAGAAGAAGAAGAAGAAGAAGAAGAAGAAGAAGAAGAAGAAGAAGAAGAAGAAGAAGAAGAAGAAGAAGACGACTTCTTGGTGCAGGACCACTCCATCAAATCGAACAGACAAGAAAATACCGTTCAACAACTCTAATGCCGTCAATCTGGACTTTTTCACGACATGAATTTATTGTGTGGTTCATGAAATTGTAAATAAAGTTAAAAGGGAAAATAACATTAAAAGTTGAATTTACTAATAACTTTTGCTCATAATAAAAAGATTTAAATTTTATTATTATTATTTTTTAAACAGTAAAAATTTAGAAAAATGGGAGAATAATAACTGTTGTTACAGTTTGAACTCTAATCGAAATTAAAAATTAAGTGCACTTGAATTAAGACAGTCAAAGTTATGGGTGCAATTTAAATTTTATTATTAATATTTTAAAAAAATTAATTTTTTATTATATTATATCAATATAGAGGATAAGACTTTAAAATTTATTAAAAAGTTGTAAGTCTTAAAACCCTATATAAGTAACCCCAGTGACACCTTGAACATAAATATAAAGGAATTTAGTTTCTTTTTAGTTTGTGGAACATTCAGACTGTAATTAGTAATTCCCGCCCCTGAAGGTCTTGCCTTGCTAACGACATTCTTTTCGTTTCATTGTCTCAATTTGCTTTTTGCTCGAGACGGCTGATATCGTCCACAGTCCGCTTGCTTATCCCAAAAAACACATTTCAAAGCTAAAAATACACTTTACCAAACAATAAATAATATACCGATTATTTATTGATTTGAATAAAAA